CAAAATTTGTAAGGATTACCTATCTTTGACAACTTCACAGAAGCAGTTTGAGTTCATCCCCCCTTCTGCTACAAAAAAGTAGCTAGATGCATATCAACAAGAGCTGCATATATTTATCAAAGAAAGAAATAATCTCTTTTCATGTAAGTTATTAGGCAGTACGACTTCATTATTTGATTGAAATGAATGTCACACTGCTTATTCTCTTACTGAAAAAGATGTAGCAGATGCAAACAGATTGCCGTGAAAAAGAGCCAAATTAACGTTTTATATTCCTGTTGCTTAGTTTTACAGTCTTATTTGTTTCGGAATGGTCAGGCGCAGGACTGATCACGTTTTGTTTATTTAATATTATTGGGTGTGTTCAAAAAACTGATTTTAAAACACCTTACCTTCTGAAAAATATAGAGAGATGGAAATGTTCGGGATATATCCAACTTAATTAGTTCCAGGCTGGCCTCACGATCAGCAGCAGATGCCCCTGCATCTGCAAACAAACAAACATACATTTATGAAGCTAAGTACTTTACAGATGGAAGACAAGATCAAGTCGCATGCAGTCAATGTCAAGGAGTTGCCACAGTGCAGAAGTGGGGAATCTTCAATTCTTGTTCTTCCAAACTGTACTCCTACAAAGCCACAGTGAGAGCTATGGGTTTGGGACACAAAAACTGGAAACTTTCTGAATAACAGTTGGCAGGTAGCATACATACACAAAAAACATCCACCATCAAAACTTGAAGATATAACCAGATTTAGTGTGCCAACTGGGAGGGGGAAAAAAAGGGCTAGCTGCAGCAGTACAAGGCCTAGAGGTATGGCTGGGCAAAGGAAACAGCTAGGAGAGAGAGGAAAGGGATATCCAGGATGCTGATTTCCACTAAAATCAGGCCTACAGTTTCTCCATTAGAAAAAGGAGGCAGGAGTCTCTCCAGAAATTCTATCTTTATATCCCCAAACCTAACAGACAATGCTTTGTCCCTGTATCCAGATCCAAAATATTCACAACAATTAATTAGTAGGTTGGTCTCACAAACAAACAAACAAAAACAAAACAACAAACATGCCCATTAGGGTTCTACCTGCTAAACATTCAGAAGTTCATCTAAATTCCAAGTTACATCAGGTCAACAGGAAACAAGGAACAGTAAGATTAATTATGGTCATTCCTGCTGTCTTGATTTCCACACTATACAATGCTTACAGTTTAAAGGATGCCTCTTACTCCCTTCTCCACACACTGACTGCCAATGAGTCATGTTTGTTCTCCACCCCCAAATCTATTCCAATTTGGTCATCTCCCTTCTTGCCACCTCCTCTCTGGCTCTTAACTCTCCACTTCCTGTCTACATTTACCAGAATGTAGGCATAACCTTATTTAAGCAACTCAAGTGTCTTGTTTCAGTCAATTTTTGGGAAAACTCAAGACTACCTAATACTACGAGGCCCATATTTTTAAGAACTAAAGAAACACTTAGGCTAAATTTGAGCAATTGATTTACTGCATTTACCTGAATCCCAGAGGAAACCCCCTCCCCATAAGTAACACTGGGGGGAAAAAAACAAAAACCTTCCTTGGATTTGAATACGAGGTGGTGTGGGCAGCAGGCAGCTGCTGCAGTTCCAGCCCCAGCCTGGGCTCAGGGCCAAAGCCACAGCTGTGGCCTGCCTCTCCAGCAATCTTGGGCCTCCTGCCCCCGTCTCCCCCTTCCTCTCACAGCCTCTGTCCCCTTCCCTCCCAACTTATGCTTGCTCCACCACCCTGGCAGGCTCTGTCCCTGATTCAGTCTGGGACACAGAGGCAGGCCCAAGAACTGCAGGGGTGGGGGGCAGAGGGGGAATGAAGGCAGAGGCAGTAGGAATGGATAAGTGGCAAGCTGCTTAATACCACCCCCCCATGCATACCCCCTTGCACTGCTTTCCCCACTACAGCAGTGGGTGGGATGAATTTAAGACAACCCCACAATAACTGGATTCTATACATGGAAAATAACAAATTTATAATCATTTCCATGTATAGAATCCAATGATTGAGGGGTCAGCTTAAATTCAGGGTTGTCTTTGATTTAGGTAATATGGCATTTGCATCCATTCACAATTACAGTTTTTATTCGCATTGGAAAAAAGGAAGTTGGTGAAGAGCAATTTGGAAGAGGCAGAATATTTATACCCTGGGTCTATAAAACAGTGGACACAAGCCTACTTCCTGCAGCTCTAACTGCCAGCATTTGTTCCATGGCCACATGGCTAAACACACAAGACTCCTACAATAGGACTCTGTAGGCAGCATCATGACGGAAAACCAGAATTAACAACTCTCACATTAGTAATTCAGGAACTGGCAGCTAGCAACCACCAGCATTCTGCCAAACACTCTGCCATTTAATGCCCTGATGAATTGATGCTAATCTTTTTAAAGAGAAGTGTAAGAAACAGGCTTGCCAAGAAATGACAAGGAGCAAGTAAGTTTGAAATAAATCAAGTAGAATGGAAAAATGGAGTTACCAGTAACTGGAGTACAAAATGTCCTGTCCATATACATATTCTCATTTGTGGGTCAAAGTCCCTGAGCTTTAACTAGAGCCATTTTGCCTTTGCGTGCCACACTGAAGACATAATAGGTGGTATACAATGCCTGCTCCTCAGTTTTCTACTACAGTCTCAAACTCTGACTTCAAAGAAAAGGAGAGTGGGATACGGGGTGGGGGGCAGCACAGGCAGGAAAGAGTGATGGAGAGGTAGAAGAAAGAAGAGGGAGGCTGAAGAACACGCCTTGAACTCCAGTTACTGGGTAGTAACTGCATTTTACTTCATAGTACTGCTTCTGGACAACTCCAAAGCAGCAGCTACACACACAAGCACATATAAACAGTGAAATATCTGCCAAATATGGTATCTTGCTCTGAGGCTTCTGCAATGGCATGGCAGTTAATAAAAGCTACATATCGATCTTCCAAGTTTTCAATCGCTTTACAGTGATCACTAACAAGAAAGTTGCACAAGCAGGCTATGGAAAATCACCACAACTCTGGTGGGGTGGGCCTGAATCACAAAAGATGACTCATCCTGATAATCTTGTAAGTTTTTATACAGGTTGAGAACCACTTAGTCTTTGAGCCAAGACTATTGCACCTGTAGATCTCTCAACTACAGAAACAAAAGAGCCATGGAGGAGTTGTAGAATTGCCTAGGTTCCATCACCAAGATGCAAGACTCACTTCAAAACATTGCTTCTTCTGCTTCAAGCAATCTCTCTCAATTGCAAAATCTGGGAGATTGTGATTTTGGTGGCTAGGTCACCATGCAGTAAAAATCAGGAAATTGTGCCCCTATGAAAATGGTGATAATTAGCCTCTAAAAAGAAACACTGCAGTGCAGCTAAAAGTAACAACAATGGTGGGAACAAGGGGGATTTATACATGGGATGAGGCAGGAGGGGTTGGGAAGGTAGAGTGCTTTAATTAGAGCCACTCCAAGAGCCACTACTTAAGGCTCCCAGAGTGTCTTGTGCATCAGTGTCTCCATGCTGAAAAATGGCAGCAGAGGCACTTTAACTAAAGCCTGAATGAACTGTAGTTAAAGCACACCCACTGCCATTTTTCAGTGTGGGGACACTGATGCACGTGACACTGGAGTCTGCTGAAACGTGGAAATTGCTACACTCCAGCAGACTCAATTAAACAAGACTGTTCTGATGCGCTGTAATGTCCGAACAGCCCCAATGCATGTGTATAGGCGCCCAAGGATACTAACCTGGAGGCTGAAACCTCCATGCACTCTGAAAAATGTTTTAAGGAAAGAAGGGATAACTAAAAGGTAACTAATAAACAACAAAACTATAAGGTAATGAAATCAACAATAAATGAAGAATTACATGGGTTGAGTAGTGTACAGACCACAAAGCAGACTGATGAAGAAATGCTCCAGCTAAGAGGAACTAAAGAATATAAAGCGTGCACTGCCCTTCAGTGCAGCAGAGGCAAAGCTGAAGCACTATAGATAGTGCTAAGGGGTCAACGTTTAGGGTCATGAGACCCATGCCTAAATGGGACTAGGTATATGGACAATTAACTCTATGAAGAACTAATCTTTCTGTAATTTATTCCAAGTTAACACAGCATTAAAAGGAAAGAAAACAAAAGCCCTACTGACCTACAAAAAGTTATTTAGAATTTAAATTCTCTCTTATTAAAATGTTTGTATAAAATGAACTTGTATGCACTAGGTTGACAACATGGGTATTCACTGTTATATGCTATTTCATAAAAAGAAGTACTGGATAGACATTGGAAGCATCAGATATTTGGGCAGGAAAAACATGCACACATACGTAACTTGAAAATACTTGGGCATAGCTTTCTAGAAAATCCTCTGAAAGGATGATTTTTTTCAGTACATTAGGGATAAACCAAATACATTAACATAAATAAAAAAACAAAACAAACCTCTGGTATTTTCTGAGCTTCCTACAGAAAATTTTCACCTAACACAGGGGATCTGCCTGCTCTTGAAGATATAAAAAAGGGAACACAGACAGATACTTCACAGCCATTTGTTGAAGTCTTCCCTGGACAAGCGCAAGAAAAGCAAAATGTACACAATAAAATGGAGCTAGTAATTTCTCTTCCTCTTTCAGAGTCCTAGAATAAGTTACTAAGTATTCTGCTTGAAAAGTATCTTCTTTTACTATAGTAAATATTATTCAGGCAATGCGCACACAGATATCAAAGACGCATAAAATACATTTGCCAAAAAACAAAAACAAAAAACCCAAAACTGGCTTAGTGTCATGTTCATACATACATTTAAAAAAAAAAAAAAAAAAGGAGTTTGTCTTGGATAACTCACAGATGTGGATTGAGAAAGCTCAAGTAACTTACTGAAATCAACTTTAAGAAAGATTAACTAATGTGTTTTTCCAAAAAACACCAACTCAAAAATTAAACTATTACAGCAAAAAAAAAAGTTATTAAACTTCTAAAAACGTTAGACCACATTACAGTATAAAATTAGAACTCTAAGACACTATTGTCCTTGCTATAATAGTTTTATAATTCTAACACCACAAATGAATATTTATGACAAAGATATTTCCAAACATAAAAGTTAGACATCTCTGCTACAAGTAACTATAGAAATTGGTGTCAGTGATATAAAAAGCAAAACCAGCAAAAATATAGGATTTCAAATGACACAGTTTTATGTATACGAGTGTTACTATTCCCATTTTACAGATTTAAGACTACTGGTCTTGTGGGTAAAAGGAGGCAACAAATAGCTTGTTTGTTTTCCATCTCAGTCCTCCACTTCTTTTAGTAAAAACAAAAGAATAACCTTTTCCTTTCCCAGGGCACAATTCCTTTATGTCTTCAAAGCACTTAGATTATGAAGGTGGTACAAATAAGGCTCGTCAACAACCGTGTTGATACTACAATGCATGTTTTTCTGGATCTCCTTTTTGTACATTACCTAAGTAGGTTGTTTGTTTGTTTTTAAGTTGTGGTGTCCCATGTTCTGAAGCTTCAAAAACCTCAAAGAAAATGCTAATTTGGAAATTAATTCACTTTTTAATGAATTTCATATTTTAACACAAAAAGGTTTCCTGCAGGTATCCCTCAAATTAAGAGTGCTATTAACTATCTATTCAGTGACGGGGTATAAAAAAACCAATGTTTTAAAAGAAAGAACAGGCCTGAAGCACACAAAATTTGAAGGTAGAAACATTTATCTGAATTGATCTTTTAAGTCTTTACATGTTTGTTTATTAGCACAAATTATATGAAACTGCAATTAATCTTTTGTACCAATATAAGAACACACCTTCTATATCATTCTCTGAACTTGTCTCACTGAAGCTTTTCCATCGTTCCTTTGCTCTGGATAAGAAGATTTCATATAGTTCTGCAAAATATCACAGCAAAGAAATGCAGCCCAAGCTGCACCATAATGAAACTTACAAATACAGTTTTGCTATCTTGCACCTAGGACCTTATCACTAAAATTTCACTTGCTACTCCTACTACACATTAGCACACACAGTTCTGGTACAAGTACTGCAGTAAGCTTAGCCAAGGGTAGGTGACAGAGGACTAAGTCCCAGACACCAACTTAGTGGGAGCAGTAGAATGAAGGCTCCCTGGGGGGCTGCACTTTTCTTTTTGCTAAAACCAGCATTGCCCATTGCCACCAGCAACAATCAGCAGCACTTGGGGCAGGCCTGGTGGCAGCGGGGCTTGAGGTTCTGGCCGTGGGGAGATGGGGTAGGCACAGGGACCTTCTAGCTGTGCCCCTCCCCTCCCCTTTAGCAGCCATTTTTCTCACCCTTGAAATAATCACTGCTAATTGTTACCAGCAACAACAAATAAGTGCAATCTGGGCAGGGGTGAGTTGCAGCAGTAGCTGCAATAGGAAGATGCAAGAGGGTCCCTCCACCCAGCAGCTGCTGCATTAACCCCCAGGTTGCTTGGCCAAATCTACACCTAGCAGCTGCAGCACCCTGAACAGCTGTTGTTTTGCAATAGCAGGATGTTATAGGCAAAAGCTGGCCCAGGGCATAAATCTCACTAGTTATGCCTCTAGTATACTGCATGTATAAAAGCCAAGACTAAATGAATTTTAAAACCTTTTTCCCCCTTCTTTTCTCAACGAGATGGAAGAAATGTGGGTAGATTAGAATCAGTTATTCAAAGAGTCATTACTAGGGACCTACCAAAATCACAGTAGAAGTGCGCTGTGCGGTAGCTCCTTTAATCTTGAAGTTTCCCAGGACAGCCCCTCCTCTGCCAATCAGCTGAGGGTGGGGGAAGGGGGTGGCAGAGGGGCCTCACCTTTTGCTCCTGATCAGCAGGTAGGCAAAAAACCTCAGCTTTAAGTATGGGGTAGTTTTTGCCTCGAAGCTGGTCAGCACAATGCAGCAGGGTCACCATGGCCCCTGGGCCAGTCAGAAGTAGGAGACAAAAAACTGTGCCATACCTTAAACCACAGTTTTTGCCTCCCTGCTGATCAGGCGTGAGCAGCCAGTGGTGGGGCCCCTCCACCAAATTGGGAGAGGCAGCAAATTCAAATTGGGAGAGGCAGCACATAGGGGAAACTACATGGTTAAAGGAGTTGCCACGCAGCACACTTCTGTCATGATTTTGGTAGGTTACTAGTCACTACCCAAGTGTTTTCCCATTTAATACAATGAATTTAGAAACCTCAGATCTCACCTCAGATTTTAATCTAAAAACACAACTGAGCTGTGCTTTCTTACATATGTGGGGAGAGTATACTTTAATACTGAAGTGTAAAAAGATTGTATAATTTTATGTATGCATTAACAGGTATAAGAGAAGATATTTGGAATGAGGATTTTTTTCCCCTCTCGTGGCTCAAACTGCTTGTAAAGCCCTAAAATAATATATCTGTAAAAACTGAACATACACTAAAGATTTGTTTGGTTTTCTTTGGATACAACTTTTCTTATTACTAAAATTCAGTCTAGCGATCTGTTTAAAGGAATACAAATTCAAATAGACTAACATTCTACAGCAAAATACAGGAACCCTGAATTACCTGATCAGCATCATGGAACACCACCTTATCAGAAGGGAAGCTGTTCTAGTTTGAATACATCAAGTAAAGTAATTCTGCATAAAAGTATGCAAAGATATACATACCAGGAGTGATATTCAATTCATTTCCCACAGCTAGACTCCAAACTTTCCCACGAACACTTGGGGGCAAGCCTTGCCACCACAGCTCTCGAACTCTTCGAGTAGAACGCCTGGGCAAAGGACAATAGAAGTCAGCTATCTTGCTTCCTTTGCATACTGGGCAGTTTAGAGGTAACACCACACAACTCAGGTCAAAACGCAAAACATTTGTTTTTGGATTTACAAGGGCCAAGACCACAATGAAAAATGACATTAAAACACCTCCAAGAAATCTCTCATATTGCTCTCTAATGACTTCTCATCATATCAGATGCATCAGCAATGAGTTATAACTGTCTTTGGCAAGGAGGATATATCCAATCTGTGGCCAAGAGTAGGGAAAAAGAGGGCAAATGAGATTGCGGCTCTTTTGTGAGCCAAGAGGGAAAAAACAGGTTACTTTTGAGTCAGCTTTACAAAACAAAACTGTTTACTTACATGCCTTCCCAGTTAGGTAATATTTCATTGATCCAAATCACCATAGCACTAGCAATATTCTCCTCCTGCTTGAAACGTTCTTTCATTATTTTTTTCCTTTTATGTGCTTCTTTAATTTCTGTTAAATATATTATATTGTTTTAATGCATGATATCCTAGGTACTATCAGCTGGGTAATTCATTATTTACAATAATCACTGGAAGAGGAAAACCTAAGTTTGGCTCATATACAAGTACCATATTTTTCATATGTCCGATGTAAAGACTCAAAGCAGAGATTATCAAATACATTCTTGGAAAATGAGTCTATTTAAGCAGCAGCAGGTCTCTTAACAAGAGACGCACAGCCCATTATGGTGAGGGAAAAAGGTCAGGCATGGAACCAAACCCCTGAATATTCCTTTGCCATTGGGCAGCACTGTACTCGGATGCCATGCTAATCTGAAAATGCTACCTCCTCAACAGGAAGCAGCATGTACTGCTTACATGTGGTACTAGAAGTGTCTCTTAACAGAGACGCTTCCAGTACCACATGTACATATACATATACATACTGCAGAGTTAAGAGACACTTCCCAGGTGCAGCACCTGCTAACACCATCATCACCACAACACTAACTACAGGGAGCTGCAGAATCTAAAGTATTTGGAACCAGTGCCTAGAAGGCAAGCCACATACAAATACAGTGTGCTACTTGATGCTTATAGACCCCCTTACCTTAAAATGTAAGCCTGCTCTGAAAAGCAACAGTTTTAAGTGAATGATTTATAATCTCAAATGCAGCACTCAGTTTGCCTGTGAAATGTTTTCTCCAATCACCAAACATGCAGTCAGTCTTGGGGCTCAAGATCCAAGCTGTATCTTTCTCCCCCCACCTTTTACGCACCACCTCCAAAAGCTTGAACTTGGAGAGAAGCAGGTATTGGTTGCTTTTTCAAGCAGTACCTCAAGTAGCACAGGTTAGTTTCCAAAAAATAAATACCATTCACACAGCTAATGCAGCTGTTCAAAGCTATTAAATATGTATTGAGCTCCACTAAGTTCCTTCAGCTTGACTCTGTCACTGGGGGTTTTTAAGATAAAGTGGCTCTGTTGGACAATTTGGGGTTAGCTTCTTCTTGCTGGGTCAAGATGCCCCTGTAAAATGTCCCTAATTTTGTTCCTCATTTTGGAATGTGCACAAGTGCATGCAGTGAGATTGGAGAGAAGGAACAGAACCAGCGGTATCTCCCCTAAATACTACACACTCAGTGCCAGAATGAGATGAATCAGTTTGCTGTGAAGGTCTGTGGATCCCATATTTCCTTCACTGCATAATTTCATGAGCATTCAAATATTAATAATGTTGACATTTAAAATCATCAGGCATCTTTACATGTACTCTTGGGAGCCTCTTCAATTAAAGTGCCTCATGTATTCAGCGTCTGTGCTTCAAAATGGCAACTAAAGTACCCCCACCACCGTATTGAAGTGTGGGGATGCTGAATACATTCAATGCAGAGACTGCTGGAGCATTTTAATTAGACTTTGATTAATCAAATCAATAAATTAATTCGATTAAATAGTCTGCTCCCATGCATTCTAATTAGAACGTGTTGGAGCAGGTGTCGGGCATGTGTATAGTTGCATCATTGGGTACCCGAGTTAAACCTCACTAAGACAGATGAAGCACTTCTAAAAGTACTGTTCCATACTCAGCCAGACACTGCTATATTGCTCATATTTTAAAGATTTTCTTCATAATCATGACAATTAGAGAACTTAACAAAAAAAGTGGAGATTCTGGAGCCCAACATAACAGGTTGGAAGAGGTTCCAGGACAACATGCCACCAGAGGCACCAGTCTAAATCCAAGCCCTGTCATCATCTGGCGGGTTATGTAGGCAAAGTTATTCCTTCAAATAGATATCTGCAGTTCCAAGAAAATGAACGCGGTAAGCCAAAACTGATTTTATTCTCCACTGAAGCCCTGAAAACAAATCTGTTGATAAGATTAGTTCAATTCTGCTGGGCTAATAAGCGGAAGAACATGGTTAAAGCTCATCTTTGTTAATTAAGTCAGACAAAACCAAATATACATAAGAAGCAGACTGGTTTCAAAGGACAAATTCTGGGTGTGCTCCAGAGGTGCGATGGGGCTGTTCTAATTAAAGCACCTGCAGCATCTAACATATTCAACTTTCCCACTCTTCAAAATGGGAGTGGGGGCACTTTAACTGAAAGCTCACTGAACAAGCCTTAGTTAAAGTGCCCCCTCTGCCATTTTGAAGCACAGGGACACTGAACACATGAAATGCAGAGGCTGCTGGAACGTGCTAGTTAGCATGCTCCAGCAGACTCGATTAGAGTCTGCTCTGGCATTCTGTAATTACAGTGCATCGAAGCAGCATCCCCACACATCTCCAAGCACCCTTTAAGTACAGAAAGTGCACTGTGTACAATGCCACATAAAAGCTCCAAATTACTGCACTTTACACAGGGTTTTGCTTTCATTCTTGTCTGAGGGGCATGTCTTCGTACCAGTTACTGTGTATAAAAAAGTTAAATTTAAATGTAATAGAACTTCTTTTTAATAACAGAAAGAGAAACAGTGCTACTGCCTATTCAACCATCATATGCCTTGTCAATCAGCAGATTGTAACCGTAAATGAACTCCTCATCTTAGTGAATTTAGAAAGCAAATGACAGCCTTCTTGGCTGCATAGCTATTTAGAAAAGGGTAGTCTGCTACCTACTGCTTGCTTTTTCCAAGTTTTTAAAACTTGGAAAAGTGAGATTTCGCTTAGAACCAGGATTAAAAGTACATGGACACAAGAGCAGCAATCTTTCTTTCCAAATATTATCAAAATGCATGGTACTACAAAGCAATAGATTAAAGTATTTGACAGAAAATAACCTCTTTAAAAAGTTACTAGAGAACACATGTAAGCAAAAAAGCTCTCTTGCAAAACCTTTGAAAAGGCAGAGAATTATGAAGACTTAAACGAAGTTTAGCTTATTAAATATTGTCTCCAGAGTAAACAAAATTTAAGAATCTACTCAGAGGCTAACAGAAACAAATTTAAATGAAATAATGATTATAAATCTGATTAAAATTATATATGAACAAGCACCACTCTTCCTACTATATATGGAACGCCTACTTGAGTGAACTTTACACTATGCTGTGCCAACAGTGTTCCTTTTACCTCATTTGTAGCCATGTGTCATTAGCATTTGAACTTTACAGAACTTCTCAAATTTAAGAATTTCCTTAATCCCAGCATCTCTAGGGTAATTTGCAGATAGAGCATTCGCAATGATAGTTAAGCTCATTATCTAAACATTCCCATTCTAAATTCACTTGCAATTGCTCATCATTAACTGAAACTTTTATTTACAGGTTCTCTGTTGTTGCTTTTCTTGTTTTACAGATGGTCTCTTTTGGGGCAAGAATTCCTGCTCTCCTCAAATTTTAGCAAAGCCATCCAGTGATTATTGACCGAAAAAGGGAAAAAAAAAAATTATTTTCCCCATACTGAAAAGGATCCTTTTAAGCTTTTCTCTGTTGAAAAAGAGCTCTAACATTAACAAAACAAATGCAAAACACTGGAATTTGGTCCAGCATGGAAGAGAAGCGGTGTGAAGATGGCATGCTCGGTGAAGTAATGTCTTGGTTTTAATCACTTTTACCAAAGTTGAAAATATAGTAGACAGTAGGGCTGTGCGAAGCTTCAGTTGCCAATTCGATTTGGAGGTTTGGCCCAATTCAGCAGCTTAATCCAAATCGAATCAGAAGACCCATTAAAAGGTCTAAATCAAATCCAAAGCCTCCAAATTGATTCGGATCAGCCCAGGAGCGGTAGGCACAGCCAGGTGGCTGCAGGTTCTCCTGCGGCTGCTCTGGCTGTGCTTGCCTCTTATTGGCAGTCCTCTTTGATGCCTGATGTATGACAAGTTTTTTTTTTGCAAAGCGTACCGAAGTTAGGCACCCTCAATTAGCGCTGTCTGAGGGGTACTGGGAAGGACCCTGGTATTTAGTCCTTGGGCTTCTTGAGATTTACTAGCCTATGAATCCAGGTTAGCAGCTAATTTTAAATTAATAGCTTCTTTTATATAGAGCTGTGTTTTCCTTTTAAATGATTTTGATGTGCTAGCTAATTTATAACTTTTGAACTTACAGCCATACAGATTTTCTTACTGCAAACTTTTCTTAGGACTGACCAATAGCAGTACAAGTCTTTGCATTCTTCTGATAAAGCTAATTTTAACTACGCCACAGGCGTAACTTACTACTTCTACAAGGCTTTGCTAAATTTACTAGGCCTCACTACAAACAAGGCCTCATTACTGTTCAACTTTAATTAGACTGGGGGTGTGTTATATCCAAGTAGAAATGTAGTTCATCTTCAAAGGATTTTGCCAATTCTGCACTTTCCAGAAGAAAATGTTTTATCCGATTCCAAGCCAGGACAATAGGTGCACCAATTTTAACAGCATTTGATGCTACTGCAAGGGGAAGCGCCTTGTGTGACCACTCACCGATTTATAGTATATAATGGAGCCAATATTTATATAATTTGATGCAATACAAACATGCCACTAAGCAATATTAGCAGTAACATCTCAAAAAAGGCTTTCTATAAACAGCTCAGCTGCTCGAAAACAAAGAGGTCATATACTTAGAATGAATATTTGTTGGGATGATCGAACATTAACAGTAACATTGGAAAAAGCAAAAGCAAGAAAATGAGGTTAATGCCTTCAATCATTAGCATAACAAGGGTACGGGTGCATTGCACCAGTTCTGGGCACCAGAATGGTGGCTTCCTGGAGAGTCCATGGTGCTGCAGCAGCAGCTGGGTGCAGAGATATTGTACATCAGAACAACCACCAGGACTGGAGAGACAGCTCTATACCACCAGCCAGGAACCGAGTCCCTGGGTCAAGACTGCCACCCCCAAACACGCCTCCCCAACAGAGTTAAAAGCTGACATAATTAACATACCTCGTTTTTTTGCCTCTGCCACCATTTCATCATATTCTTGTCGATGACGTAAAGCCTCCTCTATGGATTTGGCAGGGAGATTTCTGAAAACAAGTGGTTCCTGAATCCAATATGCAAATGATATTTTGAACCATTTAAAAAAAAAAGTCTTTATCTGATTTCTTCCTTTCTAAGGTGAACTTACTGCTTCTGTCACTTGCTGATCGTCAGCAATGGTTACTGAAATTTGCTATTTATCCATAAACATTTACTTTATCACTTCTCGGCTCAACTGTGTTGTCCCTGACTAAATCAGAACTGGAAGAAAAACATGTAGAAGAGCGAACTTTAGAGGAGAGAGACTCCCAGCCCAAGTTAAAAATCACCAGTTTTAAAGTTCCCAAACACCTTCTGCAATGGCCCTTTTGTACAAAAATATCCACTAAGGGTTGGTCTACCACAGGGGCGGGCAATTATTTCAGGCAGAGGGCCGCTTACTGAATTTTGGCAAGCCATCAAGGGTCGCATGACAGGCAGCCAGGGGCAGATGAATATTAATTTTCTAAACGTTTTAGGGGCCCCCATGCTCCTGTGGGACACTCCATCTGCCCCCACCTTCTCAGCATTCATGAGCCACCTGGTACCTTGAGGTATGTAGAAAAAAACCCATATAAAATTGTCTAGCCGAATTGTCCAATCTCTCCAAATCGAATTGGAGGTTTCTGAACAGCTTTGGAGAGATTCATGGGTCCCCCAATTCGATTCAGAGATTCAGCCGCCAAACTGAATCTGTGACTGAATCTTGCACAACCCTAGAAGATACTACGTAAACATTTGTTATCTGGTCTCTAACCACAGAGCCCACCTACTCTTCTTCACATTATTTATGCTGTGGCTCAGTTTCATGGGCGTACTAAAATGAACTACTTCTTCCATTCCAGAGACAAAACTCATTATGACCTCTAACATTTTCAAACAACAGAAAAATCAGAAGTTTCCAAATAGAAGTGCTGCGCAGTGAGCCGCTGCTGAAGTTGAATACCAAACAAAGCATACATCTGAGAGAATTCATAAAAGGTGCAGGCTGTGCGTTTTTTGCTGTTCTGAATTCTATAAGAGACTTAGGAGTTCCTTTGCATGTCAATTATTACTACAACCTAGTTAAATCTATCACCTGGCTATTTTAATTCTTACTACCAAAGAAATATGAAATAAATTTGTAGTTTCACCATCAATGAAAATAAGATGCATTTATACAGTTTCACATTATGTATCCTTGTGAATTTATCACCATTTAACATACTCTCCCAGATGTATGGCAAGCTTATTCAGTGGTGTGGAATTGCAAATTTGTGGTATTCTCTCCGGCTGTGGAAGAAAACTCAAGATTTATACACCCTTGGGAAACCAACTATAAAACAGGACATGCACAATCTGTGTTTTAGTACTGTAATAAACTTGTTCCAACTGTCTAATTCACTGGTTTTCAGCCTTTTCATCTTCAAGGCACCTCTCTGAAACTTGTTAACTGAGCGTTGCCCCTTTTTTAAAAGTGAGGAAAACACAGGTGGGGGAGCAGATGAGCAAAGAGCCTGAGCTTGTGCTAGTCTCAGCTTATTTCCTCACACCTCACAGACACCCTTCAAAAGTACCTGGTGACAACCCAGGGTACCTCAGCACCCTGGCTAAGAAGCATTGGTTTAATCTTTGGAAGATTATAGATAGTCTAGCTACATCCGAAAATGACTTGCTGCTTAAAAATGGTTATCAGAAAGAGGCCCATGTGGTACCTCAAAACTGCTGCTGAACACTGTCTGGTCATTCATGGAGACCACACAAACAATTTTCTTTACTCTAACTCTACTAAAAGTGATTTGTGCTCTCTACATGAAGACCACGTGGCTGATCAACAACAATTTTAAGGAATCGGCATTATTATTTGCTGAAAACTATTTTCTACTGGCAAAAGGTTATCTTCCTGGTATAGAAATAATTCTGAAGTATTGAGTCTTCATCCTGTATTTCATGCGGAAAGCACATTTTCACAAATGGCCATGTTTAGTTTATGTTTTTCAGATCCCAAATTAGACTTTTGTACTAACTGATATGACCAGTTGATGAACAGCTGCAGGTGATGAGTCCTCCTTAGCAATTCAGCAAATTAAATATTTTGGAAACCAAGCAGTGGAGAAACAGGGTTTTGGGTAAAGAGAAAATCTACAACAGACAGATTTGCTGAGTGAGCATGTCTAAGAACCTGTCAAAGGCAACAAACAAATGGCCCTATGGAATAAACATAATGTGAATCCTGGCCTTGTTAAAGTAAATGAGAGAGTTTAGCAACTGACTTTAACAGGGCCAAGATTTCATGTGAAAATAGCTACAGTCTTCTGATTGTTTTAATTGCATTACTGTAATATTTGGAATAAGAAGCTTGAATGTCCTATTTACAATTTGTTAGGCATGTGTATATATTTACTCCATGGCAGAATTCATTTCTGTACTTACGATGGTCTATCTTCCAGAATAAGAGCAGTGGTAGAAAGGGGTTCAAATTCGATATTTTTTCGTCTTGATGACTGAAGTGGTGGCTTGCACATTCTTCCTGTTCGTGCTTCATATTCCTAAATGAAATTATAAAAATATGCAAGTTACATAATGAAACAAAACAGCAAGAACCTAAATCAATACCAGCTTTAAAATGAATTACAGCACCCAAACGATGATATCTTTTCAGGACTGTAAGGGAGCAAACATGAACAACTGAATTCTAGCTGATTTACTTGGCCACTCCTAATCAAGACAAGTTTCTAAACTGTGTGTATGCATGCACGCGTGCACACACAAAAGACTAAATTACATGTTTTATATCAATGCAAATATGTTTGCTTAATTGGAATGCAATTCTATTTGAGCAGAAACCTGAAGAATTAAAAAGGAGAGTGCTAGTTGAGATTTTAAAAAAAAAAGTAACATCCCACCACAATTCTGCATTTCCTTCCTTCTTTCCTGATTGCAGGTAACATGGTTAGCATGTTGCTCTCTTTGTTTGACTTTCACTTTAATTCCACCTTTCCAGCATCCTTTTGAATCCCAGTAAGAACACATTACTGTCACTCAAATGTAATTATGGTACATGTCCTCTGTGTACAAAAATCTTACTTTTTCCACCATTCTATCACTTATTAATATGCACTTTTTAAACTGTGTTATGATAAACAAGAACAAAGTAAAACTGCCTACAGATACCCCTACCTATTCATCAGCAAAGAGCCTTCACTCCAAAATGATTTAAGCAAGGATTTCTTGGGAGTTTCAGACATCTGGGTATAAAGCTCAGATTTAAAACTTTTAAAACAGGGAATTGGAAAGCGCTATTTACCAAAGCACCTCTAAGAGTAACTAGTAAACATAGGTACAAACTAGTGGATAGTAGATTCAGGTTAGACTTCAGGAAAAAAAAAATTTACAGTAAGGGTGGCCAGAATCCGGAATGGGCTTCCAAGAGAGGTGGTACTATTACCAAACTTGGCGGTCTTCAAGAGGAGGCTTGATAGTCACCTGGCTGGGGTCATCTGACCTCGGTCCTCTTTCCTGCCAGGGGCAGGGGGTAGCGGACACGATGATCCTTCGTGGTCCCTTCTGACTCTACAATCTAAGAATCTATGAATTTGGTACAGCAGAAACAGCAGCACTTCTACATACAATTAAAGTTAGGTTTGCTCCTACTGATAAATACAGGTCAAGTGTTTACAGGAGTGATGGCATTTCACTGCTTAACCAGTAATTTATCAATCTAGTGTCCAAGATGCAACAAGAATAACACTTTTCATAAACTTAAGCCCCTTCTTTAAAAGCAGTTAGATTTTTTGGCTAAGTGCAGACATTCAAGGAAGTTGGATCAGGTTAAAAATGGCCTCCCAAATCTAAATTAGTTCACCCAGGTGTGGGCCTTACACTGAAACCCAGGCTCAGTGACTGGAAATCAGTCTAAACCTGTAACTATACAAAAGTTCCACACACAGAGACTGGTCTATAAATGGCAGAACACAGTCTAAGATAGACGTGAACTGAAATATACTCAAATTGATCTAAGACCAGTGCACTGACCTTCTATAGTTATGTACGCAGCCCAAAAGGTGGGAAAGCCCATCCCAGTTCCCCCAGGCCCCTCATGCTCCCCCCCCTCAAACTAGCCAGCTTGCCCCCCCACCCCCAACCCTGCATCACACAAGCTGTTCCTGGTGCTGGTTTTATCTGCATTCACCACTGCTGGGAACTGAGGAAGTATCAGTGGGGGGGAGAGGCAGGAGGGAAGGTTTGCCATGGGGTGGGAAGGAGCTAAAAACAGCCTCTGGTCCCCTCAAATTTCCCTGATCCCACTAAACCCTCCCAGTCTCCAGCAACACGCCCCCCTCCCATGGACACTGCCTTTCCCACTCCACCCCATCCCCATCACTCCTGCAGATGCTGCCTGCCACCCCAATTCCCCCCCAATCCTCCGAGCCTGCTCGCCCCCTACATTCCACAACCCTCACCCCACTGGTCCTCGCCCCATCCCAACTTACCTTAGATTGGATGGCCATTTAAAATGATTTAACCTTCCTCCGAACCTGGTCTGCTCCTACTGACCAATTATTTCAAAACTGGACTGTACCATTGACATTAGACATCAGGGCTGGAAGGGCTCGTGAGATCATCGGGTCTAGCCTAATTGGAATTAGGTTCCAAATTTCCTGCCTAAAAATTATTTGTAATTGGCTTAGGACCATTTGTTCTTGGGCCAACATTGTTCTTTAGTTTAGATGGTACTTTTCACTGCTGTGTGTTTACCACCACTCCTTCCATTACATCTGCACACAGCAATCACAGTCCCTCTAAGTCTTTGCTTTGGTCAGCGAAACAACAACTTAAATCTCACTCTGTAAGAGAAGATGACAGGAAAATGGACAGCTTAACAGCCTTTTCGTACTTGTTCCTCCTGCAGATGATTCTCTTAACTCCGATTCACATGCACATATTTTTTGCCTTCAAATGGCCAAGAAACACGAAGTTCACAATTAGGCTGTCTAGTATAATCTGCCTACCTCTTTAAAAGTGCATTTAAATTGCTTTAGGTCTAACTGGCCTGAAAAAGATATGAAGAAGCAAAGATAGCTGAAATAAAAAAGATTGCAGTAAGCAATGCTATTCTGAATCAGAGATAGAAGTGATACAGGAAAAAGAGCTTGATTATAAATAGAATTTTTAAAATCCCTAATAGGTCTTTGCTAAATATTTTCTCCTAATACCTCACTGTGTAACACATAAGATTTCTAATGTTTTACATAACTCAACGTAAGAGCAATATAATTTGAAAGCCATTAAGAATTTTTACGTCCCTCCCTTCTGATAGGATCATGTCAATGCTCTAAGCAAACTGTAGAGTATTAAGTTTTAATAAAGTCCTTGTTTCTTGGATGAATTTCCTGATGCTCGCAATTGAGATTTTTCAAAACACTTGGTTACGTAACACTAATTTCTGAGGAATGAGTGATTAAATTGTGAGAAGAGAAGTACAGTACTTGAACAAACATTTCCTAGTATTCCAATTAAGATCATTCAGATTTTTAACAACCTTTACATCTGAAGCCTGCAGAAAAGTAGCACGAAGATTAATTCTCCCTCATTTCTTTTCTATGAAAAAAATATTTTTATTGGACCATTTATAAAAATTGACTTCCAAGTTATGTAGTAACCAACTTACATGGAGATTCATTTTTACTTTGAAACAGATTTCAGCTCTCTCAAATGGCATTTACTTTTATCTTAAAACATTCTATTTACATATAAAACAGACTAAGTACTAAAGACTAAAGTATTAGTTCCTCTAGTTCAGTTTCTTTCACATGATGCAATTTAACAAAGAATATTAAAAGGTGGACCATTACATTAAAAAACAAAAAGGGAAAACATGTGGTTACAATATAGCTAATTTTCTAAAATAATTTGTTCCCAAGCAGGCAAGAACGCTGTCCAAATGCTCATAAAATTTGTCTAAAAAAATTAAGTTTATGCCTGTATATATTTCTGCATACTGCCCAGTCTTCCATTTTTTTCCCCTGAAACAATGTTTTACACTGAATGTACTCCTACAAAGAGGACCCGTGCATCTTTTCTGGATAAGCCAATAAAATGTTAATTGTCAAGTTATTAATTTGACAGTATTGTATATTCCTGATCAAGCATCTCAAAATCTTCTGTGCAATAAAACTCTACATTTAGATCTGTTTCCCCATTAACAACAGGGCTAAGTACAGACAGTCAAAAAGCCCAAGGCTGAATCAATTCAGTCTTTGCAGGTTTCGATCTAGACAGTTTACAGAATCAGTAAGAAAGTGAACTGATGTTCACATTTCAAACCCAAAAGGCATCCAGACACCTGCTGTGGTCCATACCAGGAGTTGAGGGGTGCCAGAGCACGTCTCCCAGCCTGCCAGCCACTGCAGAGAACTGGGAGACAGGCGATTCCCCCCTGCCGTGCCCCGTCTTCAACCTGCAGCCATTTGAGGAGGGGGGGGGGGGGGGGGAGTGACCCCCACCCAACCTCCAGCCAGGGTCTTGCCAGAGCTGGGGAAGCCCCCACCAAGGCGTTTCTCCCTTTCTCCATCATGCCCAGAGCTGGTTCCCTTCTCAGTCCAGGCCATCTGAGGAGGAAATATGGGGAGAAACCCTTCCCCCACACCTCCAGTCAGGGTCTCCCCAGCACAGGGCTATGGAGGTGGGTGGGAGGAGGAAGGGGGAAGCCCTCAGGGGGCCATTTACCACTCTTCCCCTGCACCCAGGGCTGAAGCCAGGGCCAAATCACCCGGCCATGCCACCTCCTTGGCCAGCTGTGGAGCAAGTGATGGGGGAAATGCTCCCCTACCCCACCTGGCTCCAGCCCCCTAAGCCAGGCTGTCCTGGGGATGGGGAATGGGGGGGAACCCACAGTGGAGGCCATTCTCTGCCCTACTCCCCCCTAAGTCAGCCTAGCAGCCATGGAGGGAAAGTAGCCAGGTGATAGCCCCAGCTCCCGGCTCAGGTGGGGTGAATAAAGCCCTCACTGTGAGCTTCCCTGCTGCCAGAAGCCAGAACCATCCCCTAGCCATGCCCCCTTCTCAGCCAGCAGGCCAGCTGAGGAGGAAATGAAGATGGAAAAAGGGCCCCCACCCAGGTCTGGACCCCCAGCCAGGCTGTGATCAGCATGGGGAAGAAAGCTCGCAGTGGGGGCCATTTTAACCCCCACTCTCCTCAGCTGGTCTGCTCACTGAAGAAATGGCATAGCTGGGTGACTGCCTCACCCCTGCACAGCACAGCTGGGACGTCCAGAGCTGAGGGTGGCTCCCCCCCCACAAGCTGGCCTGGGAAGGGCCATGGCTAGGTGACTGTCCCAGCTCCAAGCTTCGGGAAAGCCTGTGGTGGGGCTTTACTCCTCCCACCCAGTCTGGGAGCTGAGGCAATCACCTGGCCATATCCCCTCCCTGGCCAGTGGGTCCTCTGAGGAGGGAGTGGGGGGGGG